CAGCAAGCCGATCCTATGCCAGTGCCTATCCAAAGCTTCTGGAAGGTTCTGGTCTCGCAGGCCCTCACCCAGCGATCCCAAAAGATGGCAAGGGAGGGGCCCCTACGTGGGGAGGTGGGGAGGATTTAGGGTGTTCACTTGTGCTGGCTGCTTTGATCCCCTGGGATGAAAGGGCCGGTGCTTCCTCTGCCCCAGGCAGGTTCAGAGCAGGGAGCTGAGGACAGAGGCCTGGCAGCCACGGAGCCGGCTTAGAGAACTATCCCAGGGAAGAGGGTCGTGGGAGCAGAAAAATCAAAACGCTCTCTGGACGTTGTGGCTGAGGACTAAGCGACCTCCAGATCGCTCACATGCAGATTGTCCTCCGGAGGGTGACCCCGGGCCGATGCTCCGCTCGGCACACCCTGACCCCGCACATCACCACGTGGACTCAGGCCTCACAAACTTGCTTAATTAGGAGGGTAACTGGGCTGCAAAACAGTCATCTGATAGGTTTCGACGCCAAAGAGAAATTCCTCCTAGACCCTCTGCTGTTCTAGATTATCCATGCTCCGTTAGCTTGAATTACGGCGCGGCCTCTGTGGCCCAGACACAGGCCAGCGCTATGCGATTGGTTCCTGGGCCCGGAATCTGCCCGGCGCCCAGGAAGTGCTTGGAAGGAATAGTAGGATGGAGGGCTCCGGACCCAGCTGGCCCCCATCCAAACCTAAGGAGCGCCCTTTGTCGGCACCAAGGGACCCGCGTTGCCCTGGGCCCGCAGATGCCCAGCCGCACTCTCGAGCCACACCACCTCCGTGCCCCTCTTCTCTACCCTGTGGGCCAGATGTCCTCCGAGAGTTTGGTGTCAGTGGCAGAAGCTTCCTGCGGTGGCTACTGGGTAAAAATTGAAGCAGGGGTAGGGACAGCCTCCTCCTGAGTGTATATAAGATCAGAGCACAGCAGCCACACTGCACCGGATTATTTTATTATGATTGCCCACCTCCCCCGCCCCCCGAACTGTCCTCCATCTCATTGGCCTAGATAGCTACATCTCTCAGAATGATGGATGGGCTGCCTCCCCCTTCCCAGGCAGGGTGGCCAGCCCTGCTACAGAGCCGCCCTCCTACCCAGCCCCTTCCCAGATTTATTCCCTGTGTTTATGGTGCCCGGAGAGTAATCAGTGTCCTGGGCCGGCTGAGCACTCTGATTATCTCCATTCGGCTGATGGATGGGCCTTTGGGGAACTTAGGCGACAGCCCCCTGCTCCCCGTGCCTGCCCCAGCCCGCCCGGCACCCTTCCCAACCTGAGTCACCTCCCCAGAGTCAGATGATGGGCCTCCCTGCCCCTACCAAGGGGGTGGCAATGGGGGAGGGAGGCCGCAACGTCCGTAGGACCCACCTCTTGGCACTGTGGCAGCGATAGTCGGGAAGGGTCTCTGTGGCTCCCCCTTCCTCCCAGAGAGCCTGGAGCAGGGGCAGACAGAGCCACCAGGGCACTTTTCTGGGGACCCGCCCCCCCCCCCCCCCCCCCCCAACTCAGAAACATCCTGCCCAGGAAATGGCTCGATTCTCCTCTGCCACCTTCTCACTCCATCACTCCTACCCCCTCGGCACTTGTGTATACAGCTCGAGCTGTAATGATAATTTGTGCTGCTTTATGTGTTTCTTTACAAGTGTTTTTATGTCCTCTGTGTGTGTATGAGAGAGGTTTATGGTGTGTGTGTGTGTGTGTGTGTGTGTGTGTGTGTGTGCGCGCGCGCGCGCGCTCCCTATTAGACTCTGATTGCCATCTTCTCCCCCACGGAGGCAGGGGGCTCTCCCCCGGCTGGGGGAGGGGAATGGGCAGAGCCTGGATACTGGGGGGCAGGGGCAGGAAGTGGGGGGAAGAGGCAGGCAATCAAAGACCATAACCGTCAGAGGCAGGGTCTGCACTGCCCCCCAGCCGCCAGTTAGAGAATGCAGAAGGTCAATCTTGGATAATTGTTTTGTCTATAGGATCGCAAACAACTGGTTTGACTGTTTCCTTCCCAGCAAATTGAACCCACCGGCTGCATTGGAACCACGTGGTCCCCCTCTCTTATCACTTACGTGCGCCCTCACGCGTATCTGGGTCTCGTCTCCTCTAAACTTGAGTTCCCTTCCCTGGAAAGCAGGGATGTGATGATGAGAGGTTTAGAAAAGGTAAATAATGCATGTGGTGTGATGAACACAGTGCCTGCTCCAGAGCGAGCCTGCACACCACTTGGTTATTGTTAGCTGCTGCTGGCCCGGGGAGCCTCCATCGAGGGGAGGGGCAGTTCCCTGGGACCGGGCAGCCTGGCCCAGCACACCACAGGGGTCCCTCGGCTGGGTTCCTGTCACTCCTCAACTTGGCCTAACAGGGGATGGCACCTGCCCTCTGACCTGACACACAGCAGGTGACAGCTGAGGGTGCCCTTAGTGGCCACAGGACAGTGGCCTGGCTGGGAGATGGAGAGAAGGAACTGGGGCCTTGTAGGGTCGGCCCAAGTAAACCTATCACTCCTCCTAAGCCTTCCCTGCTGGGCTGTGAAGGGGCTAGGAACAGGAGTGCGTTCTCCTGCCCCCTTGCAGGCGGGTTAAATTTCTGAGCCTATGGGTTCCTGTCCCCTCCCATCCTCGGGTCCAAAAAGAGCCTCCCAGCTATCAGCTGAGGGTACCTCCCTTCCCTGCAGGGGAAGATAACTCCCTTCCCTGTGGAGGATAGACTGGGTAGGTCAGGAGAAACCTGGCGTTGGAAGGAGAGACGAATGATCCTTCTTAAAACCCCTCAACTGCATCCCCACCAGCTGGTTGAACATCCGGCTTCAGCATGAATACCTCCAACGATGGGGAACTCACCACCCTACGTGGATGCCCCTATAGCTCTCACTGCCCCAGATTCTTCCTCGCACGGAGCTGAAGTCTGCATGCCTGAAGCTCCCACCCATTAATCCTGCTTCTGCCCACTTGGAATCGTGTGGAGCACGTCCGATCTTGCACGTGATATACTTCAGGCATCAAAGAGGGTCTCCAGCTCTCAGTTTTCTCTCCCGCGAGTGCTTTTGACCAGGTCTGACACGCTTTCCCGTCTTAGGTGCGCTCCACGGAACCAGGCTCTCTCGATCCCCGGTGGCCGGTGTGATGCCCCAAATACGGGCTGACCTGCCCGCGGATTTTGGCCTAGGATTCCCCAGCCACTACAACCACCCTAGGATCCGGGAGTTGGCACAGTGGGTCGGCTGCCTTCACGCCTCCCCACCTCCACCTCACCCCTTCCGAACCCTGTTTTCCTTTGGATTAACAATAAATTGCAGTGAAAGATCCGCTTATCTCCAGCGGGAATTAAGGAATTAAGTTGGTGATGGGGAGAGAAGGGCCTGAGAAACGGAGCATATTGCACAGATTCAGGGCATAGGGAGGACAGCGGGGAGGGCAGTGGGGAGGGGCCGCCTGCCGTCACTGTCACTTCGCCCCGGAGACAGCAGGAGCAGCCCCTAATTCTCCCAGCAGCCTGTGCCCTGATGGGGACGGGTGGGGGCCGGTTGGAATGGGTGTGGTCACCGTGGGAGGCAGTGCACCACAGGGACGCCCACATGGGGTGATCTCCTGGCCGCCTCTCCTGTCGCCCATTAGTGCCTCACGACATGGGGCAGCGGCTCCATGGCATGTCGCGGCACTAAGGGCGAGCTGGGGCATGCGGCCGGGTGAGGCACCCCACCCCGCTGTCTGACACTGTGATACGGAGGCTGTGATATGGTCCACCACCCTGCAGGCAGTTCATCGGTACCATCCAGGCACTACATAACCCGTAGGCAGACCCTTGTGACCCACTTTGTTTCTCAGTTGAGACTGAATTAACCATGGCTTCCTGTGGCCAGTTGTTAGATGAGGCTCTCGCCCCTGGAGAATCTGGGCTTCCCTCTTTCCTGAAGGTAACCCAGCAAGCAGCCTCCCTCCTGAACCCCAGCATGCCTCTGCCCTTCTCAGCTCCAGTGCCCCTGCCCAAAGCCCAGGAGGCTCAGCTTGGAACCCCTTCTCCCACGTCCCCGAGGCTTCCCGATCCCTGCCACCCTCCCTGTCACCAGACCCCTCCCTAGCAGCACATTTGGGAGCTCCCCTCCCTCCTTTTCCCTACTCCTCCCGCCTCCCCCTGCCCTGCCAAACCCTGAGGCTGAGCAGGGAGAGATAAGGGGCTGAGCTACCCTCCAGAGGGTGAGGGTGGGGGTTGGAAGCCAAGAGGGGATGGATCCCAAGGACCGCTGCCTTCGGGTCATCCAGACTAAGCATGGGACCTGCCCCAAATAATAGTTTCAATCACTTGTCATCCTAGTCTCTCCCGACACCCTCCCAGGGCTGGGAGTAGGGGTTGATATTCAATAGCAGCCGCCACCTCTGGGAAGGGCACCAGAAGATAAAATGCAAGGCCAGGCCTGGAGATAGTCTCCACGAGAGGAGGAGGGGCAGGGAGATCTAGGGATGCTTGGGATTCAACACCGGTGAAGGGGTGAAGCCAGAAACGGGGCGCTCAAGTCCAAAAGTCTAGCTGGTTAATAATTAGTAGCTCTGGTTAATCATTGGTGTTTTTCCCCCAATTTCAGCTCCCCCACCCCCACCTTCTAGGCTCTGCCCAGGCCTCTGGAAAAGAAGCCCCCACCTCCACCCCTGCCCCCCCCCCCCCCCCCCCCCCCCCAGCTGGTTTCTGGTCCCTGGAGCCAGTGTGGTATTTAATCTTCAAGAGAGATTAGTGGCCTGTTTTAGCCAGCCTCCCCCCACAGGCTCTTTGGATGCCCCTAGATATTCCCTGCTGGGAGGGCCGGCCCCAGGACCACCCCAGAAGGCGTCTCCTTAGCAGGGCCCCTGGCCTCTGTTGACTCACTTGGCTGACCTTGCCGCTGGCCAGGTAAGGTCCTGGGGTGACCCTGTGGGTAATGCTTCCCTAATCCTTTAGGTGAGGTCAGTTAGTCAACAGATGTTTATCTATAGGTGCCAGGTCCCTTGTGTCAAGAAAAAGTACTTTCAGCAGCTCAAACAGAGGTTAAAGGCTTTATTGAAAGGCTGATGTGCCTCAGGGGGCACTTGAAGACCAGGTGACTCCCCAAGTGGAAACAGGATTGGAGGTTCAGGGTGACGAGGAGAGGGGGCCACGCGTCCTTGAGCTTGGGCTTCGGGGCGACATTTTCATCTCCAACTGCTAGAAAACTTGCTGTTGGGCCGTGTGGGTTTCCAGGCCTCTTCCTCCATCCGGATCCTTGGTGCTATCCCACCCGATGGGTGCCGGAACAGTTCCTCGAGACCTGTTTTTATAAGGCGTGTGGTCAGGGGATGGGGAGGTGGGAAAGAGGAACCTCTCCCACCTGTTTCAATCCTTTGCGGGGAGCTGGTAGGGAGGTCCGGCGCTCCAAACAGGTGTCATTCCTGTTCTCTGGACACAGAGATGCACAGAGCAGTGCAGAGAATTTCCCGAGTGAGTAAACTAGGCACGGGGCTCTGAAGGGGACATGGGGTGGGGGTGGGGCCCTAATCTGGGCCCCGGAGCAGCGACCTTGAGGCTGAGACCTGGAGTCTGAGTAGGAGTGGCTGAAGCGGCCCCTCCCCCGCCCACAACCACCACCCTCTGAGACATCCTGGGGGCCTCTCCCCATTCCTGGGGAGCCCGCACACCCCTGTCAGAGCAAGAAGCGTGATGTGCCACAGCCCTGCTCTGTCTGAAGCTCTCTCAAGCTCCCCAGTGCTAGTGACTTAAGTACAGACCCCATGGTCCACGTCGGGGTTTCTCAGCCCCAGCCAGCACTATCTGGACGTTTGGGGCCAGATAATTCCTTTTTATGTGGGACTCTCCTGTGCACTGTAGGATGTTCGGTCTCTACCCAGTAGAAGCCAGCAGGGTCCTCCCTCACCCCCCACTGCATGACACTTAAAAAATGCCTTTAGACAGGGGCGCCTGGGTGGCGCAGTCGGTTAAGCGTCCGACTTCAGCCAGGTCACGATCTCGCGGTCCGTGAGTTCGAGCCCCGCGTCAGGCTCTGGGCTGATAGCTCGGAGCCTGGAGCCTGTTTCCGATTCTGTGTCTCCCTCTCTCTCTGCACCTCCCTCGTTCATGCTCTGTCTCTCTCTGTCCCAAAAATAAATAAAAACATTAAAAAAAAATTTTTTTTTAAAAAATGCCTTTAGACATTGCTAAATGTCCCCTGGGAGGCAGAGGCACCCCAGGTGAGAACCACTGGTCTAGGGTCTCACTGTAGCCAGGACCTCCTGCATGGTCTCGTACCTTCTCTCCTCCCCTCGCCCCAGACACTGAGCCCTTTGAAGGAGAGGGCTCAGCCTTAAGATCTCTGCAGGCCTTAGCTCGGTGCCTTGTACACAGTAGATGCTCCGTAAACGTACAGTAAACCGATGGGAGCCGGCTGGCTTCCCTCCTTCTCAGCCCCTAGTAGGCGACGATGAGGTTTCCTTCTTCTGCGCACCTCTCCGTGTTGTTGGCACTTTGCGTAACCCCCGTAGCCAAGATGTGCAAACTTCCGAAGCTTCCCTTTCTCCTTCCTGACACCTCCCATCCCCACCTCATGTTGTTTGCGGCAAACAAAAGCATCTTTTCTCATGTCGTTCACATTTGCTAAGTCTCTCCTGGGCATCGAGCCCTGGGGGGACCGGAGGGCGCTGTGGCTGCGTGTGTGAAGTCGGGCGTGGCTGTGTGCTTCCGCAGGCAAGTGCCTGCTGGCAGGTGTGTCCGTGTGTGGCGTCCAGACCCCACTCACGCTGAGCTCGTGCCCTCTGCTCGCTGTTTCTCACCTTTCACCCCACCAGGCCTTTGCTCTTGCTGTCCCTCTGCTTGGCGGGCCTTGCTTCGTGGCCTGGCAAGAATCCCCTGCCCCCAATTCATCATTCCCCCCCCAGTATCATCATGGCACTTTCGAGCATTCTTGCCATAGCACATTGATCACGTTAGTGGTTAATATTTCCTGTGTCCTTGGGCCTGGGACCATGTCGCGCATGCACGTGTGTGTGTGAGTGTGTGTGTGTGTGTGTGTGTGTGTGTGTGTGTGTGTTTGCAATTCCTACTTTTTTAATACATGCTTATTAAATAAATTGAAATAAATTGCTTACTTTATTTTTCAGGGCATTTTCTTTGTACTATTCTAAGCATGTCTCTGATTAATGACTTTGCGTAACCTTTCTGCGCGTGCCCTCATGAGTTTCTGTGCGTGTGCATGTGCGTGTGCACGGACATGCGCACGTATACGTGTGCAGCACTATTTCGTTGCACGTGGATGTTTGGGTGTACATGTGCGCGTGCATCTCTGTTCCCGCGTTTCTGTAGATTTAAATGTGTGTCCCCACCCACCCCCCCCCCCGGTAGTGCCCCTCTCCAAGGTGGCATTCCCTCAACCGTTGCCAAGGGGTGAGGTTAGAGGGGACTGAGTGGGGACCCTCCTCCGGCCAGCTTTCTCCACCCACCTCCCAGAACGTCCTTCTGACCCCAGTCCCTGGTCTGCCGGAAGGGATCGGGGGCTTCCTGTCCATCCTCGGGGAGCCCAGGGCGGGCAGGCTGCGTTGGGGGGCAGAGCCCTCTGTGGCCTAGTCGCATACACCCCTTTCTCCATCCATCTCTGCCCTGTTTAATTGGAATTTGGCTAGTGGAGACCATCTGTTCTATTCCGCCTGTTTCCATGACAACCAAGTGGCTTGAGACTGAGGTTTGTAGTGAGAGAAGTGGCCTAGGGGATGCTGGGAAAAATCATTGAGGCCCTCCCCCTCACACCTGCTCCGCCTCGCCTTCTCCTCTCTGCCCTGCCCTCGCCCCCAAGCCCAGAGTAAGAATAAAGCTACTGCCCACCAGGGAGTCGGGAGGGCATCACCTTCCTTTCCCAGGCTGCTTTGGGCTTCCTCCGGCTTCCATTCATAAGCACTTGCCCCCGTGCAGACCGGGGTGGGGGGTGGGAGGGGGGCTGGTCCTGCCCTCTGCCCGCCCTGGGACCAGAAGGAAAACCTGGAGACGTGAAAGCCTGCAGGTTTTCCTATAGTTTCAAGCTTCAACCACCCCTGCCTCCAGACCTCTTCCTCACCCCATCCGAGTGTCAAAATCTTCAACCAAGGACCACACACACACACACACACACACACACACCACTGTACAAGCATCAGAAATTTCAACCCACTTGTGATGGCTGATCCGTCTCCCCCCTCCCCCAATGCCGGTGTCCAGGGAACCCGAGTCCCCAGACCTTCCAGGTGACAGGGCTTTGAGAATGGGGTCCTTTGCTTCCCAACCTTGGGGGTGAGTGCTCCCTCACAGCCCTGTTATAGTCGCTCAGGACCACACACAAAGGACTCTGTCAGAGCACCTTGCTCCCCAGGGGTCTCCCTTTACCCCTGGTGCAGAGTGGGCCCCGCCAAGTACGTGGCACATAAAAGAGCTGAGAGCCCAGCAGAGAAACTGGTTGTCCCTGGGCTCCCAGGAGCTCAGACAGGCCCTGACACACTGGGATGTGAGTAAGGCTCCCTCTCTCCTATTTCTGGACAGTTCCGTTTTCACGGTGTTATTTTCTGCCCTAATTTCTCCGTCTATGGCAAAGCCGCTTCCCTGCCTGCTCTATTACCGGGGGACCTTCCTGTCTTCAAAATTAAGTGCTGTGGCTTGTCAGGTGACCTGTCTGTCGCTCAGGTCCCAGGCGAAAGGTGCCACCCACACCTCTTGAGCATAGAGAGACGGGGAGCCTGCCCCAGATGGGGAGGTGGTCCCGGGATCTCTCCAGTGGCCTGCACCCTGCAGAAGGTCGTTGCTCGGAGCAGCTGTGCTGAGCAGGGACCTCTACATTTGAGGGCGCTGCAGCCTTGCCGAGGGTCTCCCAGTGGCCAGCCTGGGTCCGTCAGGGCAGTGGTGGTATCCAGCCCCCCACCATCCATTCTTCCAACCCCTGGCAACCACTAATCTACTTCTGTGCCTATGGATTTTCCTGTTCTGGACATTTCCTATAAATGGAATCACACCGTGTGGCCTTTTGGTGGCCGATGCCTTTCACTGTACATTCCACCTGCCTGCTTCTGTGTCACCACCCTGCTTAGAGAGTGTCGGCGCCCCCCCGGTTGCTGCAGGGTGACGTGCAGACCCTTGTCACCTACAGAGCCCTCTTTAAACCAGCGCCCATCTCCCGCCCCATTCACCTCTGCACCAGGAGCCAATGCTCAGCGACATTCAAGCTGTAAAAGACGCTGTCCTGTTCCTGCTCCCTCTTCTCTCTCCGAGGGGCTCCTGCTTACCCTGCAAGACCCAGCTAAAAACCCCCCTCTCCTCCGATTCCTGCATCCCCCTCAGAATCGCTTTTCCTCTTGGACTCCCATCGCTTTTGGTTCATACTTCAAAAAACAAACGAAACATAGCACTTAACTCGAGAATTATTTGTTTGCACGCCTGGGTTCCCTGCTAGACGGAGCCTCTAGAGAAAAAGAAAATGCCTTATCCTTTCTCATCCCTCTATCCATCCTCCCACCTCCCCCATGGCTGTCACCTCCACCCAAGGGAAGCTGGCCCGGTGCTTGACTCTGAGTATACACTCGGTAACACTTGAGAGATAAAGGCTAGGGAACTAGGAAAGCCAGAGCTGGGAGAGTTCATCTGGGAGAGGTGACCCCGGAGAAGGACCCGGAAGGAGGGGAGGTTTCGGCATCCTGACATAGCAAAGACTGGCTGGGTGTGGCTGGGTCTGAGAGCTGCCTTCATGTGGATGCTCAAGGTGACAGAAGGCGGGGAGGCGTCCTTCCCTGAGTTAGACAGCCTTTGCGGAGCGGGGCGCCTGGGTGGTCACTAGCATGGGAGATGGGGTGGAAAGTTTGGCAAAAGGGTGGAGGCCAAGTGGGGGAGGGGCAGCAAAAGAGAGCAGAGGGCAACCCTCAGCTAGAAAAGGAGAGTGGTGGGTACAGGAGAGGAAGGTGCCCCAGCAGACGCAACAGCTTGTGCAAAGGCCCAGAGGCAAGGCAGAGCCTAAAATATCCTGGAGGAGAGAGCCTGGCATGGGGGAGGGGGAGGGCTGGGTGAAGCTCAGGCTGGTGGGATGAACGGGACCCCAGTTGCCCAGGGAGCTTTACGACGAGCTGAGCATGGTGACCTATACACCTGTCTCTGATGAAAACCTCCCCGTCCTTCGAGGGCCACTTAAGGACGGGCGGACTTTCCCTGACCACCCCAGCTGGCAAGGGCGGCTGTCCTCCGCACATGGAAACTACTGGAAGGCGAACGATGGGTTTTAAAACCCTCCCCTTCCTCAGCCAGCCCCACGGGGAGGACTTGAAAGGCAGG